CGTACCTTTTTTCTAACTCACTGATTAGGAAGTGGGGAACAAAAAAGGTTTTTTAAGAAAACCATGACACTTTCTTGAGCCATGTTTAGCACAGTTAAAATGAAATTTTACCCATTATATAGATCAGGCTTCTGTCGCCTTTATGCTTGAGGGACTTATCTTCATTCACCAAATGACAACTGAATAAATTATCCGTATTTTTAATGAGTACGTTCTCCATAACTATTATTAGCTCCTGATAACGAATTAATGTCATTCTACGTCGCTTAAGACGATGAAGTATTTATGGAGAATTTTCTAATGATGTATGGGCTTCGCGATGCCATTTACTATCATTTAGCTGTCTATCTTAAGGTATTCCCATTAAGAGTAGATTGCAGTTTTGAACTCGTCAACGTCTATTCAATACTTTGACTGTGAACGAACCCTGGTAGTGCAGCGTTTATTTTTGACTTATTATTTGTTGGAAGGAACTTTAATGGCATCGTGAGGCTTACTCATATCATTGTAAAAAAATTTCTCATTCTTTCATCGTCTTAAGCGAACTAGGTTGACTACATTTTCGGTCTATAAATTAGGGAGGCCATCAAAATCTATAGATTTAGCGATACATTGAATGTCAGGAATAAGGGCAGGAGCCAATTATGCCCAATTGGTAGTCTTGAGGATAAATAGGATGCTGAGATGAAGAGAAAATAGAGGCTACTAAACTTGTCACATTTTCCATACGTCATAGTTCAGCATACGAAGAATAAGTGACTTTTGAGCAACCTCTTAAGACAACATTGCTAGGGAGACTTTCATTTCGTATAAAAGTGCATGATGTAGAGATTCGTTAGTTGATCTCACTGAAAGACGACGGTCGATCTCAGTTGTTCTGCAGTCGCCTGGATTTAATACGACCTTCATGTTGATGTAGTCCACGAGACCTTCCTGGTTTCGGGGTAAAACGTGCTGAGCTTCCCTCCATCAGAGCTGGAACTCATTCTTGTAAAATTCTCACGTTAACATACGCTCCATCTTACGTCTTATATTTACTCGGGCAAACTAGTGAGAAAGTTGAAGAAGTGGACGCTCAAGGAAAAGCTGATATTTTCTCCAGTAATGATCCTTAATCGAGATCTTGCTTTTACAAAATTGTGTGCTTCTGAGATCGAATTTATCTTGATCGGACGTGTTGGCCTATTCGCCAAAGATTTTTGGATCACAAAAATGCCTATACTAGCAGCTTGGTCCAACGCTCAAAGTCGCCAAACATAAACCAGAGACTGGACATGAGATAGAATTGTCTCATAGGCATTATGCTAGTTTGCTGTTAAAAGGAAGATAAGAGAGTCACTTAAAATTAAGAGACTAGGCAATTTGTTTACTGTGAGGAACGGTGGTACAACGTCAAATCAAGCTCATCAACAAAACCAGACGTACGAAATTACGCAATCCTAGTTAGGTCTTTCCTCAAATTTTCATGAAGCCTTACTGATCCTGGACTGACGGGTTATGACGGGGTGTTTCGCAATCTGACTTACACACGTACAAGCTCACATTTCATTACCTCAACCAGACTTGTCAACAGACTTACGCAGTCTTGGTCAGAGTTTTTCTGGATCACTAAGCCTTGATGATCATTGATTTAGGACCGGTATTTTGTACAGATGTTGACACACAATTTTTACATATGCCCATGATTAATATAAAAGAGGACCCTATATTTATTTATACTTTTTAGCTGTGATTGCGTATAAGACGTAAGTTATAGCCGGACAGTCTTCTTGACCTAGTATTAACTCGAGGCCTTCACAAAGGTGAGTTTCAGTTTGGATAATGTCCAACATGTGATGGACGAAATTTTGGCCTGTTTTCATCGGAAACGAGCATGTCTCATTGACTACGTCAATATGAAAGTCGCATTAAAGCCAAACGGATGCAGAAAAGCGGGAGTGTGATCAACCAACGAATCTCTTCATCATGCACTTGTAAACTGAATGAAGGTCTCCCTTAACAATAGTTTACGCATATATGCTCACCAACTTAACCAGACGTGTTTCCGGTATTGCGCAATCGAGGCGATGCTTGTCTATAATAAATTTAAAAAACTAATTAGACTTTTATGATAGAGAACAGAGGTTACTCTCTATTCTGATTATTTAGAATTATCACTGCTGGTTTCTTACTTGTACGTGAATGCCCTGGATTGACATATGATGCGAGCTAAACAAATAACCCTATGCCGCACTAAAATCTATACGTTTAGAGTATACACAGCATGGAGGAATGAGCCGATGATTTTTATTGACTCGTTATATTGCATTGGTTGCAAAACTCACCCGGCTCTTAAGATATACGATATGCTACAGACGCTACAGGAGCTCTTCTTTGTATACAAATGCATGGCACGTTTTCTTTCGAATCGAAGAGATGGCCTTTGGAATGGTTTAGCAGGCGACTGCAGAACAACTGAGATCGACCGTCGTCTTTCAGTGAGATCAACTAACGAATCTCTCCATCATGCACTTTCATACGAAATGAAAGTCTCCCTAACAATGTTGCCTTAAGAAGTTCCTCAAAAGTCGCTTATTCTTCGTATGCTGAACTATGACGTATGGAAAATGTGACAAGTTTAGTTTGGCCGAGGGAAATTTTCTGTTGTCCCCTGTTGGATCAACTCTCGATTCCATTCAGCTCATTCGTTTGAAATGGGTGTGAGCTAAAATGCTGGTGCAAAAGATTCCGTGGGTTCCCTGGGTCTAATCGTGGGCTCGGTATAGGCGGCGAGATTCTGTATGTCGACATTTGGATGAGTTGACATAGAGGCTCACGCGTTGTCTTTGGGCTGAATGTCAAGTGTTCGGCGATAGCTACGAATGTCGTGTGACAAAAAGAACGAGGTATGTGAGGAGTATGGCCAAGTTGCAACAATTGTGGTGGCCTTTTTCTACTATTTCTTACTATTCTTCCGTGCACTGATCTTACTTTTAATCTGTTTGTGTCTACATTTCGAGGTTTGCATTGTTGCTACCCTTTTGTCTCCAGGGCAGATCTGGCCCTTCCTACTCGGCGTTCAGCTTCAGGCGCGCAAACCGATTCGAGTTCTTGTTCTAGTGCTAGTGAAAGCGAATTTGGCAGTCCTGCCGAGGAACGAACCTCCGGTCGAACTCGTGTGAGCCATACTCCAGAATCCGGAATGACACGAGCACCTGGAAGCAAGAGGGCCTTGCGGAACCCTCCCAGCTCTGCTATGACTAATAGGAATAGCACTCATGAGGTAATTGCTTCAACAGTGAAGCCAGGCACGTTAGACACCCAAAGCAATGAGGTAATGAGTTTTTCTACGATGGCACCAACTTCGGGAGTTCTTGGAGCTTTGAACTCTACACCTACACGCAGATCCCTTCCTCCTGCTCCAGATCAGCAAATAGCTCCTTCTGACCGTCTGGCTGCTGCAGATTCTCAAAGCTATGGAAAGTCTGGGGGGTTAGTCGCCGGTTCTGCTGCCCCAACCGGACAAGCAGCACGAGTGAGTGAAGTTTATTTCATTGTTTATAATTGTAATATTGAAACTAATTCATAATCACTTTAATTTAAAGTTTTTTGATTCAGAAATTTCGGTTGCATATATTGATGATCATTTTGCGATTTGACAACTTAGTAGGATTTGATTTGGCTTCCATATTCCCAAGTAAATAACTCAAGCTTCATACCAAGCCCTCAATATAATTGGAATAAAATTTACACTTTTTATATTATTCTTTACTTAAGCAGGGTATCTAGTTTGGTAGGAATGTATTTTAGGAAACCAGTATATACTAGTTTTATTTTAAATTCTATTTCCAACCATAGTTAAAAGGCAAACGGAGATTTCGAAATCAATTATCTTTAGAAACTTAAACTTTATGGATAAGAACTATTTGGAGAAAGAGTTCGAAAGGAATATGCAATTGTTGTCGGATAAAAATTGATGAAAATAAATATCCGTCTATTGAAGAATAAAATTAAGGACTGCGTATTTTTGGGACGAGCTACGAGGCCGCCCTATGCTCTTACTTTTCCTTGCTTTATTTCTTAAGAGGCGATATGGTAAGGAAATGGGGACTCAAACCTCTTCTGTTATTCCTCCATTTGAAGAGAGTTTTGAATCTATCACAATCAGGCTGTTCATGCGATCGCTTTTGTGATGAAGAGACCATTCATCCGATTCACCAGTGAATAACTCAACACACACCGCCTGCGTAGGCTATTGGGTACTAAGATCAAAAGTGGCTGGTCACATGACATAATCGGAACACGAGATAGATTAACTTAATATTCGTCTAGATGTTGTTTGACCATGTTTTCGCAACTTGGTCAAATTGGTAGGAAGACTTAGAGGAACGCACCTAGTCCGGAGTCCATAGTATGCATGTTTATTTCCAGATTAGGACCGTGGATGTGGTACATTCCTAGACGTTTCACCGGCTCGTCAGTGAGTTTTGGCATTAGCACCAAACAACGACTCGGCAAAGAGATAATTGAAGCCGATCATTTGACCAATTGTCTGCTAAAAAATCGTGGCATCTCTCCTCTCCTGGGCTAATCACTAATCTTATTTTCTCGTATCACGCCTTCACTATTACATTTTTTACTTGCTTATTTATAAGTGGTATGGTCTGCCCTTTTGAGAGGCTTTCATGAAAACTCTTCACACTCCACGCTTGCTTTCTTACCCTTGTGCTGGAAATGCAGATCAGTCTCCAATATTGTTACGCAATCCTTCCATGGGCCTTATCAGAGTTTAAATAAGCACGGTAAAAATTGTAACAGTGAAGGTGGGATACGAGGATATAGGAAGGGTGAATAGCCCATGACAGAAGGAGAGATACCACAACTGTTTAGCATACGTTCGGTCAAAGAATCGGCTTCACTCGTCTCTTTGACGAGATGTTGTATGATGCTAAGAATGACAAGACTTACTGACGATGCTGATTACGATGCCGACGAAACGTCTGGGAATGTACCACGTCCACCGTCCTACTTTGGAAATGATGATGCATACTATGGACTCCGGACTAGGTGCGTTCCTCTGAGTCTTCCTACCAATATGACCAAGTTGCGAAAACAAGGTCAAAAAACTTCTATGCAACGAAATGAGACTGCGTTCACACAAGAGGCCATACCATCTTGGTCTTCATATCCTCGATTGATACTTGTCTGTTGAGTAACGTAACTTAGTCTGCCAAGTCTAAATTCACAGCTACAAGGCATTCTTTCGGTTCCGGGGAGGACAACTTACGGATCCATTCCACTCGCTTCTTCAAATGAAATGAAAAATATACCAACATAAATTTATTCAGGGAGTCTTTGGAACCCAGATTTTTTTCATTAATCTCCTTATATACTTCCTGGTGGTTTAATTTTTATGATTAACA